TGTATATATATATATTATAGAAACATAATTTATTAGAAATTCTTTATAGCAAATTTATCTACACTAATTTAATTATACAAGTTGTATATATATATTATAAATAATTATATTAAAAATAATAATAATTAATTAGTTTGTTTGATATAATTTATTAGAAATTCTTTATAACATCTACACACGAGTCATATATATATATATATTAAAAATTAATATTATTAATATATTTTATTTATAACATTTTATTTATATTATATTAAAAATAATAATTAATTAATTATTTTGTTTGATATAAATTATTAGAAATTCTTTATAACAAATTTATCTACACACGAGTCATATATACATATATACATTTATATATTAAAAATTAATATTATTAATATATTTTATTTATAACATTTTATTTATATTATATGAAAAATAATAATTAATTAATTATTTTGTTTGATATAAATTATTAGAAATTCTTTATAACAAAATTTATCTACACACGAGTTATAAAAGATAATACATAAAATAAAAAAGTAAATCTTTCTTTCTCTCTTTTACAATTATTTTCTTTATACAATCGAATGATTCAATTGAATACTGATATCTACTTAGGAATACAAATTCGTGGTTACTGCAAGAGACGGTGCACCTGATTATCGGTTGGCAACTGCAACGGTAACTGTCAAAGTGATTGACGTTGAAGATGAAGTTCCAATCTTTCGTCAAAGTAGTTATGAAGCTCGTGTTAAAGAAAATGTTCCAGATTACATGGTGATACAAGTTTTGGTAATTACAATTGTTCATTTGAATTATTTATCATTTGTTAATTAACAAAAATAATATATATTAATATATATATAAAAAAAAATACAATAAACACATTAAAGTGTTTAATTTATTGTGTGTATCACAAAATAATACATTAAAAATATGAAACCTGTTTCTCAACGAAGGGTTTCAGAAAAATTTCATTGATCAATAATAAATAAATGAACGTAATTAAAATTTCCAGGCAGATGATCCAGACACTAAGAAACAAATCACTTATACAATCAAACAAGGTGACACAGAACTTTTTTCTATAGATCCAAAAAGTGGAGTTATACAAACTATTCGTGGTTTAGATTATGAAAGAGAAAATCAACATATTCTTATTATTGGTACTGTTGAAAACACTAGTGATCTTCCTGGTTCTACAACAAGGGTTGTCGTCAATGTTCAGGTATTGATTTTAACTGTTAAAGTTTAGAAGATACTTGAGAAATAATTCTATCGGTAAAGTTTGCACACGCACACACACACACACACACACACACATACACCCAAATACACACAATAAAGTAACAAGAAATATTGATAAATTATATTACACGATTTATTTTATATTGCATAATAAAACATTCATTATTATTAATTAATTATCATGATTTATTGTACATGAAAATGATTTATATATTACCAAAATATAAATTTAATAATTTATTTATAATATTATAAAATTTGATTGAATTATTAATAAAATAATTATAATAAAATCAAGCGTTTCAAATAATTGCAAAATAATATTCAAATATTTGAGAGAATAAAAAAAAAAATATATTAATTTTGGATATTTAATGAATTTGATAGGATGTTAACGATATACCACCGATCTTCACCATGGTACCTAGACCCATTACTCTTGACGATGATTCACCTATAGGAACGACGGTTATCAATCTTGTCGCCACAGATTCCGACGGCACTGCGCCAGGAAATCAGGTAATTAAATTAATGAAAGAACGTGTGTGGAGGTGATGGTGGTAGTGGTAAGCATAAGAGAAATATATAATCCAATTACCTTAACTTCAAAATCCTACTTTAGGTGAGGTACGAAATCATTGGACGTGGTATTGCGAGCAAATACTTTGTCATAGATCCTGATACCGGTGTTGTCAGAATTCGAGATGATCTTAGAAAAGAAACTGACACTGAATATCAGGTATATGTTGTTAGATTATTTTTTTTTTTTTTTTTTAAATAAAATATTCAGGGTTATTAATTCTTTTTTGTACGAGCAGTTTTTATTTGTGTACGAAAATTTTCTTTAAAAATTCAATAAAAACAAGTTATCCAATAGATGTCGGATATATCCGGCATTCGTATACACCCCACATCATCAGACGAATTTTCAAATATATTTGAAGCTTCTACACGTAGGTTATTAAATAGATGCCGGATATATACGGCACTCGTACAAAAAGGGTTAAAATCAATTTTATTTTTTAATTCTTAAATTTATTTATCATAAATGAATGAAGTGAACACTTTTTTTTTTCTTCCTAGCAATTGAATCATTTGGAAATATTATTATTATTCATTCATTTTTTTAATTAGGTTGACGTTCGAGCATACGACATGGGCGAGCCACAATTGTCATCCGTGACAACTGTCCCAATTTTTGTTCGACACGTAGCAACCGTACCGTTAGAAGTTGGTTTAGGTTTTGCCGAGAATTCCTACAACGTCGATGTGCCGGAAGATGCAACCGACGGGACATTGATCAAGATAATTACGATCATCAACAGTCACGCTCACGATTCGACACCCTTGAAATGTGAGATATACAACGGAAATGAGAATGATTTGTTCGAGGCCAGTATCACCGAGGAACGTAATTGTGCCCTAAGATTGAAAAAAGGTGCTTTGGATTATGAAACTACGGAATTTTATCAAATCAAAATTAGGTTAGAATCGTTGTCCGGATTGTTGAATTCTGGCAGAAATACAACTATGGTAAGTAATTCATTGAATTGTTAAATAATTAATAAACAAAATTATGTATAATTTAATATTTGAAAAGATTTTATCCTTCAAAGCCACTATAGTGGCGTGTACGATATTTTTTGCGTTATACATGATAAAATCTAAATGAATAATAACATTCGATGAATTTTTGATTGTGTTAACAGGTAAAAATCCAAGTGATAGATGTCAATGACAACAAACCTGAATTTATATTCCCAGAGGATGACAACAAGCTCAGAAATGGTCGATACTTTGCAGCAATACCTAAAAACGCTCAATTTGGTTCTAGCGTTTTACAAGTGAAAGCTCACGACAAGGACAATGGAAAATATGGCAAATTAGAATACAAAATAATCGAAGGACTCGGTTCGGAATATTTCGCGATAGATGCATTTTCTGGTATAATTCGTACCACGGCTACTTTTGACAACATTGATTCGTCAGAATTACCATTCAAATTTGACGTTAGTGTACGCGACAATCCAAATTCGACGATTAATTTCAATAAAATTATTGCACCAATTATAATTAATCTGATTGGTGAAGAGAATCTTTTGATATTAGTAGTACAAGACGCGGCACCTGAAATACTACAAAAAGATTCTAGAAAAATGGCTAATATAATCGAAGAAAGAAGTGGATTGTTGATCGCTATCGATAGGATTACTGTTAGAAAAGTTCGTACGAAGAATGGTACGATTGAAACTTATCCGCAAGATTCGGACGTTTGGTTTTATGGGATTGATCCTGAGACAGAATTGATATTGGATCGTAATAGTTCCAAAGTACAGAGGTAAATTTCTTCCCCCTAGTTATAATACAATCACATAGTTCTTCAAAAATTTAACAAAATCTTGAATATAACGTTAACTTAATTTTCGATTATGTAACACACGTATTACCTCGAGTAATATCATACGGTTATAAAAATAACCGATAAGTATAATCGTTTCTCAACACTTCGTATAATTAGCAGCACCAACACCAGTCTGCTGTTTGTTTGTTAATGGATGAAGGGGGGGGGGAAAAGCTTTGCGATATTGCAATGACTACGGTGTTAACCTTGAATATTTATCACCGACAAACCAATTGCGATAAAAACGTGCATAGCATTTATTTAACGTACGTTCTACAGTTTTCTTTTTTTTCCTACTTTTTTCAGGTTGATCGTTGAAAGAACTGCGGCATCGAACATCACGTTTGACGTGTCAACTTTAGTCAGAGCTAATGCAATTGAAATACACGCGCCAGTAATGTACGCCGAGCCGGTACGCACGCAAACAGCTGTTGCATTCAGTGGTGAGGTATTCCCATATGCTCTTATCATCATTGCTTGCGTCATACTGATACTTGGAATAGCTGGGATCATCTACATCTGCGTATCTTGGTCCAGGTAATTTGATTTTTTCAAATTTTATTTTGTTCTCTATAACCCCATCCCTACATCTTCTTTAATGAAGTATTCCCATATGCATTTTATTATCATTTCCTGCGTCATGATACTTGGAATAACTGGAATCATTTGCATTTGTGTTATTTTGGTTCAGGTATTTGATTTCTTTAGTTTTTTATTTTATTTTATTTATTTTTTTTATTGTTTATTATAAATCCAATCTCCCATTCCTATTTCTTGATGAAAAATTCCTATATGCATTTTATTATCATTTCCTGCGTCATGATACTTGGAATAGTTGGAATCATTTACATTAGTGTTATTTTTGTTCAGGTATTGGATTTCTTTCATTATTTAATTTTATTTATTTTGTTTTCTGTAACCTCATCCCTTCCTCTTCCTTGATGAAAAAAGATTCCCATGTGCATTTTATTATCATTTCCTGCGTCATGATACTAGAAATAACTGGAATCATTCATTTGCATTTGTGTTATTTTCGTACACAGTATTTGATTTCTTTCATTTTTTTTATTTCTTTATATTATTATTTATAAGCCCCCCATCCCTTTCTCACCCTCTCTCTCTCTCTCTCATTCCAATGGGAATAATCGTTTTCTTTTAGTATTCTTTTTTTCATTTTTTTGTCTCCTTTTTTTTATTATTCAACTGCGTTAGTTCAGTGCCACGTGTAAATCATTCGTAATGCTTCGTTATTGTAACTAGATCGACCTACTTTTTCTTGTCATTACCACAAGAATGGAAAAGAAAAGAAAAGAAAAGAAAAGAACAGAACAGAAACGTACGCTTGGAAGAAAATATCTTCGTAAACGTTCTCGTTTTATTCACGTCAATGACGAATATTATATAATCATGGGAACTCGTCATTTCTCCTTTTTTTTTTTACTATTCTCCTTTATTAGATTAATTAACATTAATTACTATCGTCATTATTACCTTTCTCTTTGACTGGTTCCAGTTATAGTAGTGGGATTGTTTTGTTTTACCAACTCGTTGGAGTTAGCAACACACGAGGAAAGGTTAGGGAGGGTTTTTTTTTTTATTGTTCTTCGTCTGAACGAGTCAACAATTTATTTTATTAATTGTGAACCATCGTTTGTTTGACTGTAGTGATCTTACGTGAACTACATTTTTTTTCTTTTTTTTTTGTATTTTTTAAACTAACGCGTAACTTGACTCGATTAACGTTAATTAATGTTTCTGTAATTCAACAGAAATGCGTCTAGTTGTCATAATTTATAATTCACTCTTTGTTTAAATATATTTAATATATATATATATATAATATTATTTGATCAAATAATAGGTACAAGGCATACAAGGAACGTATGCAACGAATGTACGTTGTACCACGTTATGATCCTGTTTATGTTGAGCCCAATTTAAAGGAATACGAGACCCAGGTGTTACAGATGAGCGTACCAGTTGATGACAACGACAGTTACAATGACTTGCAACTCGATTTCAGCAACAAAAATCATGCATTCAGTTTGGACAACGTTAGTTACATTACCAAAGATCATGGTGGAAGTACAGGTAATAAATAATATCTAATATTATTTATTATTACATTTCATATATATATATATATATATGTTTTTTTTAAATTATTCTAAAAATATATATTAGTTTATGATATCATTGAGAAAACCAATATATTGGCATACCATTCAAAAAAAAAATAATAATTTTGAATAACTAATTATAATTGGGGGATTGGTGGAAGTACTTGATAAATTAATGAACATTTTTAAATAATTAAAAATAAATGAAACATAATTTTATAGATATTTAAAAAAAAAAAAATTATATAATATATTTTTATAATACTTTTATAATTTGTTAAATCATTTAAATTATATTAAAATATTTATTACATTATTTGATAAATTAATGAACATTTTGAAGTAATTAAAAATAAATAAAACATGATTTCATAGATATTTAAAAAAAAAACAAATTATATAATATATTTTTTATAATACTTTTATAATTTGTTAAATCATTTAAATTGTATCAAAACATTGATTACATTATTTGATAAATTAATGAATATTTTTAAATATAAGCAATAATAAATGAAACAAAATCCCATAGATATTTTTTTTTTTATATAATACTTTTGTAAAATTTGTTAAATCGTTTAAACCATGTCGAAACATTTATTACACTACCACCATAGTTTAAGAATCGAAAGAGTATTTCCAGAGAAAATCATTTTTACAAAAAAAAAAGAAAAAAAAAAGTATATCGTCGTTACGATGTATTTTATTTTTCTCTTGAAAGTTGTTTCACCGTAACAAGTAAAATGGTCAAACGATTTGTTCTTTTTTATTTAATTTTTTTTTTTTATATTTTTATTTCTTTTCTGTTTGATTTGTTCAAGGCCAACAGAGTCCTGTGAGCTCGGAAGCTGCAACAACCGCTCGTGCATCGAGCATAGCTGGGAATCATGCCGAGGGTAACGTTCATTCCCTTAGACGATCAACACTCGGTCGTAAGAATCACACAAGCAGTAACAGCAACACCATGAACAATCACGATACAACCACCACACCCGTATTAAATCCCCTTTACAATCATGCCGGTGATTTACTCAGTGCTAGTCCCTCAAACGATAATGTTACGTTCCGAGAAAAGAAAGATTATTCACATCTCGGTTTTACTTATTTGTACGAACAAAGTCCCGTAGAAACTACCACTGAATTGTAAACAATAACAATAATAAGAAAAGAAAAGAAAAGAAAAGAAAAGAAAAAAACACACACACACAAAATGTTCAACTATGATCTACCGGAATTATTATTATTCTATTGCGAGAACAAATGGGGAGGAGGGGAGGGAAATTAAGTCCCGTAGAGAAACTATCACTGATTTGTAAATAACAATGATAAGTATAACACTAACAATAGTAAAAAAAAAAAAAAAAAAATAATAAACACAAAATCTTCAAATATGATCTATCGGAATTATTATATTTGCGAGAATAAGTTGGAAAAATTGTTACACATGGATTAAATTATACTTGAAAGTTAATAAAATAACATTAGGAAATATTCTAAATGAAAAAAATATATATACATATATATATATATATATATATAAGAAGTAATTAGAAACGAATAATTGTTTTTAATTTTCTTTCAATTTGAAATAAAATGAACATAAGTTCGCATTCGTAGCAGGTTTCATAACAAAACAGCGAATTAATTATAAACAACACCTCGCTTAATATTTAACAAACGTGCCAAGAGAATATTTGTTCTCATTTTTTTTTTTTTTTTTTTTATTTCTTCTTTTCTTTCTTTTCGAACATAATACAAAGTTGTACAAACTTGTTATCAACTAAAGAGAAAGAAAGGAAAAAAAAAAAAAAAGGAAAAGGAAGAAAACCTACATATAGACACTTAAAACCTTGAAAGAAAATGTCCTCTTCTTTTTTTTTTTTCAGTATACTCGCGAAAAAATGATCGATAACGAACAAATAAAAAGAAACTTCTCGAGGGATTGAAAAACCGATATGTGTACGTGAATTTGAAAAAGAAAAAAGAAAAAGAAGAAAAAGAAGAACACGAAGATAGAACAAAATAATAATCTAACCTACAAAATCACACACGGAACTCTCATTTTTCAACGAGTTCAATGTGAAATGTAATTATAGATAGTTATATTATTCTGATAAGAGAAAAAGTACTTAAAGAGTAAATAATAATAAAAGAAATAAAAAACTCTTACTTCTTTTTTTTCTTCTTCTTTTCTTTTTGTTTTTCTTTTACTTCAGTGAAGATTCTTCAAGAGATCTTCAATGTTGACCAATTGAATTACGTTCATCGTCATAAAACCAACAAGATCAGATTTTTTATTATTTTTTTTTTTTTTTTTTGAAATCGATCAAAATGTTACTGTGCATTTTCTATTTCTATATTCCGAACGCAAAACAAAACAAAACAAAACACCTATGGCTTTTTAATTATACATTTAAATGTTTTATATATATATATATAATATAAAATGTCTGCGTGCCGTCCATAAAAAAAAAAAAATATAATAAAATGTTCTACTTTTCTGTTTGTTTGTTTGTTTGTTTGATTTGAAGATATGATGATGAATGAACAATAGAATGCGTGAGCTTTTTCTAATCGTTTTACATATTATTATTAGTTTTTGTTTTTTTTTTTTTCTAGCGTGAGAGATAGAATGATTAATAGAAGTGTATGTTAATGTTGATAAGAATGATGATGTTGAAGAAAAAAAAGAAAAAAAAAAAATAAGAACAGAAAAAAAAAAACAACACCCACAAGATATACCGAATTTTGTATTATATTCAATTTTAATTATTTATATTATTAACGTAACGTTATATTCGCTTAATTTTCAATTAATTTTATTGCATTGTATAGTAGCATGCGTATCGTTCTTAAATGTATTTTATTATTATTATTATTATTTTTTTTTTTTTCGAAGAAGAAGAAGAAGAAGAAGAAGGGAAAACCGAATAAGGATCGATCCCAGTATCCCTACGTGTTTCCTTTTATAGTTCATGGTGGTTTTTCTCTCTCGTTCGATCATTTGGATCGTTAAAATGTGTTGTGAGATGATTCATGTATTTAAAGAGAAATCATTTAGGTTTAAGTATTAAACTTCGATTTTAATGTCGAATTACTAAAGAAACAATGTTTCTACAAATTTTTGTCATAATTTATGCTACGTTTTTTCTAGTCTTAAGACGAAAATTTACAGATACACACACACATATATATACATATAAGTATGGAATGTATACATGTACGAGAATAATGTTTTGATAATGATGAAATAAGTTTCATCAAATCATTGTAGTTGAATATTATTTAAGAATGAAAAGATTGAAAAAAGTAAACACAGAAGATGGATGTATAAATTGTTAATACTTCAATAATAAATTTATTATATTTACATAAATAATAATACATTACTTTCTCATATAATTTTGTTTTTTTTTTTTAAGAAGAAGAGAAACATCATTTTTTATTCTACGATAAGATTTTCAAATTCGTATGAAAAATTAATTAGTATTTTAATAGTAAAAAATTATAAAGAACACCCACGAAAGTTAATAATAATAATAATAATAATTCATTATTTCACGACATAATGCATAATATTGTTATGAAATAAGTGAGTTAGGGAAAAAAGCTTGTTGCTTGAACGAATACTTTGCTATATATATATATAATATTCTAATTATAAAAAAGTAAACTCATTTTTATTCGTACATTAAAATATTTCTTGGAAATTGCAAATAATTGTGATAAAAACGAATGAACTCAATTAACGGAGAAAAAACAAATTAATATTAAGAATAAAATAAAATAAAATAAAATAAAGAAGAAAGTACAACACACACTTAGCTTAAAAGTATAAAGATAAAAAAAAAAATAACATAATAAAATAATGAAAAATAAAATAAATTATACCAATAAGAAAATTTGTATATAAGAATTTTATCGACAAATACGTTAACGATGAAAATGAAGATAACGATGAAGATGACAATGAAGAACAAAATAACACACTAAGTTTTAAGTATAAAGATAAATAAAAAAAAAAAACATAATAAAATAATACAAATAATAAACAATAAAATAAATTATACCAATAAGAAAATTTGTACATAAGAATTTAAATGACAAACAAGTTGACGATGAAAATGACTACTGTGAAGTTCAAAACGCACCTTTAGCTTTAAGTATAAAGATAAATAAAAAAAAAACATAATAAAATAATAAAAATAATAAACAATAAAATAAATGATACCAATAAGAAGATTTGTACATAAGAATTTAAACGACAAACAAACAAGTTGACGATGAAGATGACTACTGTGAAGTTCAAAACGCACACTTAGCTTAAAAGTATAAAGATAAAAAAAAAACATAATAAAATAATAAAAATAATAAACAATAAAATAAATTATACCAATAAGAAAATTTGTACATAAGAATATAAACGACAAAGAAAAAAGTTGACGATGAAAATCATGATGATGATGATGATGATGATGATGAACAAAAATTAAGAATAAAAATAATCGTAGAGAGAAAAAGAAAGATAAATAGATGTTAAAAGTAAAGAGAAATAAAGAAGGGTGGTAAAAGGTTGACGAGGGGGTAGGTTGGGGGTGGGTTGGGGGTGAACAGTTACGGGCGGGGATCGACTATGGGATGAGATAAAGCGTCGGCGCATACGCAGTCGCATATCTGGACCATTGGTAGAACGCAAACTCGAACATTAAGGTACGAGAGAGACAGAAAGAGTGAGAGAGTGAGAGAGTGAGAGAAAGAGGGGTAGGAGGGCTGGGGAAGAGAGGAATGAAGAGACCGAGCGCAAAACGGGACCCGTAGAAGGCTGGAGTGATCCGCGTCGGCTCTTTCGGGAAATTACGAATTATGAGAACCAGTCGTGGGAAAAACATTTTAAACAACAACGACGACGACGATCAAACGACGACTACAGAGGTCGCCAATTTAATTTTTCGAATTCTTTTATAAAAAAAAAAAAAAAAAAATCGCCAATTTAATTTTTCGAATTCTTTTATAAAAAAAAAAAAAAAAAACACACCATTTCATCGTCACCATATCACTCGTTTTATACGAAAAGGATCGGAACTTTTTCTTCTTACTTTTTTTTCTTCCTTTTCTATCTCTCTCTCTCTCTCTCTCTCTCTCTCCCTCTATTTTTGGGGAATTTTTTGTTTTTGCCGTGAAGGAGAAAAATAATAAAAAAAAAAAGTTAACATCATCTAAGTGTTTGTTACATTAGTTTTGTGTTTGAAAGAAGAAGAAGAAGAAGAAGAAATAAGAAGAAGAAGATTCCAATTTATTCTTGGATTATTTTCAAGTGTCCTATCGAAAATTAAGAACCTGAGGGAGAAAAAAAGATGGATGGTTAGAGAACATATCAGTTCTTCAACCCAGGATCGATCCCTAAAAGCAGCTTCGAGAGAAAGTGCCGTTGCTTGGCTACCTATCTTTATCTCTCTCTCTCTCTCACTCACTCTTTCTCTCTTTCTCGATATCTTTGTCTATCTTTTACGTTTTAACACTTCCTTTTATCTTCTCTTTGTTCTTTGAGTTATCCAAGGAATCCAAGAAATATCCTAAAATATCATCCGTGAATTATACGTGTGATCGATATCATCCTCATCCCCGTTCTATGAACCACCTGTAAACTGTACTCCGACTTTTGGGGATTAGATTTGTTCGGGATACACACACACACACACACACACACAAGTAATAACAAGTATTATTGATAATATCAATTTTTATTTATTTAATACTATTATTATTGTTTAATGTTGTCTCGTTAATACAACAACGTTAATTGTTCTTTTTTCTTTTGTTTTTCTATTTCTCTTTTTGTTTTCTTTTTTTATTTGAAATTTAAATTAATTTTTTTTCCATCATTCGTTGAAAAAGAGTGGAACTTTTTCTTTTTTTTTTTTTTTTTGGTTGTATTTTTAATCTAATTTAGTTGTGTCCCTCGTTAAGCCGGAAATTTAAGTACGGAGGGGGGTTTAATTCACTTCTTCGTGGGAAATAACTAGTTCACCACACAGGTAATTTCATTTCTACCATTTATCTTTAAATAAGTGTTCTAGTTTTTATAAGCAGATATTATATTAGAGATTGGATATATATATATATTTTATTTCATTATTGTATAACAAATTGTATCGAAATTTGTTTCTTTTTTGTTTTCTCATAAAATTAAATCAATTTGTTTTTCAATTTGTTCAATGAGATTGATCCTCTATAGCTTTTTTGCTTTTTTTCTAGAAAATTGTTATTTCGTTTGAAAAGATCTTTTCTTTTTTCCTTTCTCTTTTTACAATTACTTAAAAAAAAAAATATATATATATATATATTGTATATAGTAAAATGAAGCACTTAAACGATGAGAAAATAATATATTATCTTTTGCCATTCGTTAAGGTAATTTTCTACTCCAACGGGAAATAGGTTTTAGCAAAGTGTTGACAAAATATACTTGGTTCGGTCGTGTAACTTCAAAGTTACCACGTGACGGTCTTTTGCATACTCATAAACCCTTTTAGGCTGGAAACTAATGAATTTCGCACAATCCTTTGATCTCAACCAATGTGATTTGCCTCTCTCTCTCTATATATATATGTATGTACATATGTATTTATATACATATATGTACTACCTAAGAATAGTACATAACAAAGAACTCATAAAGTTGCAAAATTTCTTATATAAGTTTCAAAAATACGTACAAAAGAAGATTATTATTTTCTCAAACGAATTGAAAAATTATTTTTCACATAGAATTCAATGAAAAATGAACTTTTTCATAAACATTAACTTTGAAAATGAAACAAACACATTTTGCTTATCTTTCTTTTTCCCTTTAAGTGTGTAATTGCATTTGTCAAATGAAACGTAAGACGTTTTTATTAAAATCGATCGATCGTTCATTCGTTCATTCGTTCGTTTATGCTCGTAGGAATAATTTTGAATCTACTCTAAAAAGAAAAGATATTATATATTCTGTTTTATCAAAATTTTATTATTATTTCCTTCTCTTTTTTTTTTTTTTTATTGATTTCTATGTTCACAGATTGATGACCGGTTGGACGTTGTCGTCGTTTTACATTGATCGGGATGAAATACTTGAAAGTGGCAGTGTTCACGTTCAACCTATTGATATGGGTAACATTAATAAATATATTTATATATATATATATACTATTACATTTAATTATTATTTTACAATTTATTATTAATACGTTATTCGTAAATTGATATTTTAAAGTATCATCGATGAGAAAGTGTGATAAAATCATTTTCCAATGATATCAATATGGGTAGAATTTAAATGATAATTAATCAAAGTATTACATCAATTTGATCTTATGAGATTTTGTTATTAAAAAAAAAAAAAAAAAAAGGTATATATTTGAAAAACGTTCAAGAGTCCCCTCTTCGTCATCCTCTTTAGTCCCCCCCCCAAACGTCCCCTCTTTTAACATTTAATTCAAATAAACGTGTAAAAGAGAAAAGATGAAAGCGTTCGATAAATAGTCCGAGTGTAAGTGTATGCATATACGCGTCATTCGAGCGTAATAAAGAAGGGTGGTGAGGTGGGGGTGGGGGATTAAAAGGGAGAAAGAAGAGAAAAAAAAAAGAAAGAAAAAAGAAAGAAAAAAATAAAATGGAAAAAATATGAAAAAGTCATCCCTGCACGTTTCCCCTTTCTCTTCGTTGTAAAAACTATTATTGTACGAAGTTCAGTTAACTGTGATCGATAATATGAAGGCGTATAAAAATAAATATTTTCTCCCTTTTCTCTATAGTTGGCTGGTTGCACTGTACTGGTAATAGGAGCATGGTTACTCTTGGAACCAAGCAAGGGACACCTCTTGAATCTTTTCGTTCCCGACGTCAAACCTCACGAGACAATTGATTTGATAGCGTATAGTTTGGTTGGCCTTGGTTTCACCGTATTTATGGTTGGTTTTTTCGGTTGTCGTGCTGCCCTACGTGGAAATCAATGTATACTTGCCACCGTAAGTAATTAACTAATAATTTATATTAGTATATATATATATATATATATATTTTTTTTTTATTACTAAAACATATCTTTATATATAAAAATTCATCGTCACGTTGTTGATTTCCAATGAAATTCAAAACTACGGAATCCATTTTAATGAAATTTTGTTTTTATTTTGTATGATTTTTTCCAAACTTAGAATGCAGATGAGCTTTTATCGCGATTATTTTGTATTTTTTATTTCTAATTTAAGGATCTAAAACAAAACATATCTTTATATATAAAAATTCATCGTCACGTTGTTGGT